ATTTTTAGCAGGTCAGTTGTGGAATAAAAAGAGCTGCTAAAAGTATAAACAACTGTGTTAAATCATTTTCATTTATTCAGAAGCCACACCGTCGCGCATCCATTGATTCTGTCTTCACTGACATGAAGGGCTCCTTTGGACAACAGCAGAAAATTAATCCAGTATTACTTTTATTGGTTCACTGCTCAATAATGAAGATGCTGTTAATAATTATTCACATCTCAGCGACTTCATTAAACAGCTCTGCGTCCATGTCCTGGTGCATGTGTGTGTCAACACTCCTCTACAATAATCAGTTCTTCTTTTTTCTTTTTTTTTTTGAAGTGCCTTTGTTTAATTTTTATTTTGTGGCTCTAGAAGATGGAACGTTCTGGTGATCCTGACAGAACATGGGTATGAATAAAAATACTTTGAACAGATGATAAAATCAATGTTAGTCTCCGTTAGAACGATTGTTTTTCTTGAGTAAAGACGTCTCATTTTTGTGAGTCCCTCTGATAATTAAGGTTTATATTATTTGCATAATAATATTTCAAAATAATATCAGATCAGCTGAGTTTGTTCTAACCAGCAGACGACTTGTCTCTTTACACAGATATGGTGCAAATCCTTCAGCAAACAGAAGTGGTGAGTTTACAGGAGAAATTACTTTTACTTATTCTTTTATTCACCATTTAACATGAATTGTCTCCTAGAACCAGAGTCTGACTAAAACCCAAACCTGAACTCATCAGACTCGTCAGGAAAGGTGTCGTGTTATGACTGCTGTGGATGAAAGATCTGTTTACAGATTACACCAATCCCTGCTAATAATCTGACCTTCTGGGTGTGTGGTACGTACCATTGGTCCCGCTGATCCGATTTCTCCTCTCTCTCCTTTCTCCCCACGGGTGCCCTGAAAAACAAACAATGTCACTGGATCTGTAAAACACTCATAGTTTCACCAGACGCTATCGAAGCCAAAACTTCAGGCCTGCTGGACCTCCACAAGTCCCCACAACCGCCTCAGCAGGGTCCATTTCAAACAAAAGTGAACAAATGTCTGAAAACCTGTTTGAGGAACATCTCAGCTTTTCTCATTTTGCACTGCCTTGTTGGATAGATTGTCATGTTGTCAGATCTTCAAGAAACAATATGGCAAACAGAGCAATTTTAGTGTTTCTACCACAATTTAATTAACATCAGCCAAGACCTGGAAGAGCTTTGAAAAACTCCTAGTCTTTATCTGTTGTAAACCAAAGTAAACATCTTTATTGACCTTGTTACTAATGTTCAGTGTCAGTAGCCTGGTAAAACCCAGCCCATTGCTCTACGCTTTGCCAGAGTTGTAAAGTAACTAAGTACAAATACTTTGTTACTGTTCTTAAGTAGAATTTTTGGGTATCTGTACTTTACTTGAGTAATTGTTTTTCAGCCTACTTTTTACTTCTACTTCTTATTTCACACAATTATCTGTACTTTCTACTCCTCACATTTTTAAAAAAGGCAAGAAGCAGAAAGTCGTTATTTTACTTTCATTTTTGCTTGTTTTCCTCCCAGCTGCTTATTGTAAAAAATAAATACTATCCATATAAATTGTGCCTCCTAGATAGAGTGAATATAATTGTGGTTGAATAAGAAGTTTAAATGTGATGTGTGTAGTGTGCACCAGCGTCACCGTGAAGGAAKCTAAGCTAAGAGGCTAACCGGAAATTACACCATCCCCTGCTAAAGTACAGAGCCATACAAGATGGCTGTAAATGAACTGCAGGCTTTGAGAGTTGAATTTTATGTAATTTGGAAGCCTTGTCAACACCAGACTCATTCACTTTCTCCGCTGCCATTATTGAACTACAGGCAGACTGAAACAGYGCAGAAAATCAACGTCATCGTTCCAAACTCCTCCCCCTGTTTGCTGATTGGCCCGGTTGAAATTCAACTGGAGAAATCCACGTCAATGGGAGAAAGCCCAGACGGAGCAGAGAAGGGAGATTAGAGTCAAGCAGAATTGCGTAGGAAGGCAATATACAGGCTAGTGTCAGTGTTCTGCAACACATTGTGGTCCAGATATATTCAAGCCTACTTCTGGTTCATTGAAATATAATTAGTGTAAACAGTGTTCAAACTGTGTCTGCCTATGTTTCAGCTGTGCTCTGCAGTTATTCAGGCATCCAGCAGCATTACATATCAAATACCAAAAGAACTACAGTATTTTTAAGAACGACAGCAGGTGTAAGAGCTGAACATCAACCTGAGTGCCTGAAACAGCTGTGAATGTGTTTTGGGGCGAGGTGCTTGATTTTACTCATTCACATCAGAAGATCAGTTTTTTTTATTATTAGGATCTGAGTTCTTTGCTTTGAATGAAACATTTTTCTGTTTTTAGTCCAGAAATATAAAACAGTCTTACTGGGGGTCCCTGAATGGAGAGTCCATTGGGTCCCTGAGGACCAGGCGGTCCTGAAGGTCCAGGTGGGCCAGCTTCTCCCATAGGCCCTTGAGGTCCCTGTGAAGACCAAACAGTGTGAAACTTAAAACATGGATTTTTCATTTAGAAAATAGAAATTTTACTAAATAAAATTTATACATCGATAAACTCAAATATATTTTTATTGGTAAACGAGTAAAAAGAATATTTTTAATTGAAATTAGCTTTGGCAGATTATTTTATTCTCTAAAACAGATTATTATTTGTCAGATTGTTGAACTGAAACAATGTAAAAATATATATCAGTTTAAAAAAAAGTCATTTTGAGTTGTTATTTGGCAGACGAGGGGTGTTGAGCTATTATTGTGACTGAGATTAACTATGTATACAAAGTACGAAGGTTTAAGATCATCATTTAACATTATTGTTGCATTCTTTCAACATTAGCCCATAATTTGTCCAAATTTAACAAAAGGAAGGTTTTAAAGTTTTAAAGATCTTGTGTTTGTATTAGTGTGTGTGAAATTGTTGGGGATGTCACTCAGCTACGTTTACACCAAAAATTTAGCACAATTTCTGTAAAACTGACTGAGTTTTAGACATTTTTGAGGCTGGTGTGACTRCACCCCCAGCTGTTTGTCTAATAATTATTTTGAGTTTGATTAAAATCTGTCCAGTGGTTCATAAGATATTTTGCTAACAGACAGAAACACATGCAGAGAGAGACAGTGAGTCACCTTCTATGGCAGCAGACAAACAAACAAAAAAATGTAGAGAACAAGGAAAAGAATACGTCATGTGATATAAGCAATATTTGTTTGTACTATATATACTTTATTATTTTTATTTAACCTTTATTTTACCAGACAAAACATTAAGAATAGCTTCTTATTTACAATGTCATCCATACAATTTAAACAAAGTGTGCTTATTTAATGTATTTACTGATGAGAGGTGAACTCAGTCAACGTAATTTTCTTTTAATTTTAACCTCCRAATTCTTCCCTGCACACCTGGAGTCTTTATACCACCGGCTGCCTCGACAACAAGATATAATCAGGAAATGCATTTGGGAACTTTATCCATCTGCAGTGAGGTTTAACTCCCGTTAGCAGCTCATTTTTATTAAAGTGTATAAAGTGTAGACAGAGTTCCTGCAACAGGATCCAGAAATAAAAAAAAAAACAGTTCTGCAAACCACAAGTTCAGTGGAAGCAGCTAGCCAGAACAGTCACTGACTGTTTATTGTTTCACTGTTTAGCCCTAAAGATTGAGTTCATGTGTTTCCTATTTTCAAAAACAATGAAAAATTATGACGTTCATGAAAATGAAGGAAAAAAATACAAGGCTCGAAGCGTTTTATGTTACGCAAAATAGGAAATGTCATTATGATGGTGATATCCCTTGAATTAAAACAAGATGACTCAGTATTTTTTTTGATGATTCTCTAATAAATGCTTTTTTAAACTCTTACCAATAAAGTTGGTAAGAGTAAAAAAGCTATGTTACATAAGTACGAGAAAAAAACTTGTGCTTTTTTAGGGGTGTTGTTGCATTTTTACCTTATTGCATCAAACTATWAGTATACCCAAATGCTGAGAACTGTTCTGTTCTTGATTATAAAGGGAAATGCAGATTACAAGCAGAAAACTATCATGTCTTTAGGGTTTCCTATCTTTTTCATTAGGATTATCCTGAATTCTTTGCCTTCTGTTGGATTGAACTTTACAATGTTTAGTCATAAATCTCTGGTTGAGGTTTGTCTCAAAGAGTAAAAAAAAAAAAAACAATAATTTAATTTAAAATCCTAAAAATAATGGTAGCGACTCCAGAATGCAGTGACAGCTGAGCCAACATTTCTTCCTCCATTGAGCCTCACACAGTTTGCCTGGTCTTAACTCCTGATTAGGTCTGCTCCTRGGGTGGTTTCACCTTGGTAACTCGGTTCAAACCACAGCATAGTGAACAGTTTGAGACTTATTTAGCTTATTTTTTGCAGAAACTAAATGTGTTAAATGAATTAAAACATATCACAAACCATCACTCCTGACTCCCCTCTGTCTCCTCKGGGTCCTCTTATTCCTGGTCCACCCTAGAAAAATGATCAAACACACATTATATTAGAAATTTAGTTTTTTTTAAATGTTTCTAAATAATTCAAATATAACCCAGCACCTTTTACATATTTGGAATGTAAATAACTCTTAATTGATTTGTACTATAATCTGGTTTTAAAGTAATAACTGACATATTTTAAAATTGAGTTTTGTGAAAAAGTTATGAACAATTAATATCATACCTGCTGTAGATAGGAACAAACTTAGTTTAAAAAAATGTTTAGTTCTGACTAGAGTGATGAGCCAATGGCTAGTGTGAGAGAGGCCAAGACCAAAGTGAACTGTTGCTTTTTCAAAACAGTTTCAATCTTTGAAATTTAATAGACATTTAGGTGAATGCTATACGTGTGAAGGTGTAACAATAATAATTTTAATGAATTTAATTCGTAACACACTTCTCATTAGTTGTACAGAATGTCCATAAATTACACACATTTTCCCATATTTTGCATGAATACAGATGTATAGAGACAATCTCTGATTTTTTTGAAACTTTGCTTCATGTTTATTTAAGTCTCAGAACCGACGGGCTGTAAGAAAATGCGTTTTCCACCTCCTTGTCTTTCCTTCCTGTTCCTCTGCAGCTGCAGACACTGTTAACTCCACCCTCACGTCCTCTCTCCATGACCAACATCCCACTACAACCCACACCCTTKTATCTGGTGAGAGTACTGCAGAKYTTTGGGGAAAATTRCGKATTTCTGAGGCTCAAGATACATGTARACATCCGAAGGGGTTRACATGTATGAAATGCTATTTTATAAACCTTGATATGAAAACATATACAGTGCAGTATGTAGTGAGTACATACTGGTGTGTACATGCAGGGTACGTAGCCTGTAAATACAGGCTATGGTTTTATGGTACTGTATATGGGGATGTGTAAAACCCATGTGAGCGGAAGCCTCATAAGTRGGCCCATTATTCTCCCCAAAAGAGACACTGAGCTTTTAATCAAAGATTTGCGTCCCTCGGAAGAAGGACACTCAGTGTTCTGAGCTTCTCAGGATCCATAAAAGGTTCTCCAAGAATTCTTTCCCTTTGACTACTCAGGGCCGAGCATTGGCCCAAGTAGTGCAAAGAGGTCTCTAATTCAATGCCACAGGCATCGCTCAGACCATTTTCATGGAGTCCCATCACCATTTTATGGYGGTTGAGCAAGTTGTGCCCAGTTAGGACTCCAACTAGTGTACTTAAAGTTTTCCTTGTTAAGGTAAGAAGGGCTTTTCCAAACCAAGGATTTGGGCCATTTATCAGTTCTCGTGTCTGTCTGCAATCCTTCAGCTCCCTCCAATGGATTGAGTGTTGACGTCTGATCCATGCCTGTAGGGCAGTCCTACAGATTATTTATTTACCATTATTTTACCAGGCAAGTCCCATTGAGATCTCAGATCTCTTTTTCAAGGGAGGCCTGGGCCTGAAGGCAACCTGTTGCACATGTTTTGTGGAGGAAACCGGAGTACCCGGAGAAAACCCAYGCAAGCACGAGGAGAACATKCAAAMTCCACACAGAAAGATTCCAGGTCCGMACCATGGATTGAACTCAGGACCTTCTTGCTGTGGGTCGTCGGTRCTAATCACTGAGCCGTCGTGCTGCCARAGATTGTTGTTGAAATGCCTATAGCAGGCTCTGGTTCTTTAAAGTGGGCTTGAATACCAGCTCTTAAAAGGTAGTCAGCTCTCTTGTTACCATWAATGCCAGYATGTCCTGGTACCCATTTAATAGTAACACTGTTAACTCTCCCCAGTTGGTTGACTGCCTCGGCACACTTCCAAGCCAGTAGTGATGTAAAATGTGGCCCCTGGAGAGCTCTAATWGAAGTACCATAAAACCATAAAAGTACAGGCTAACAAGTCCCTTCATAATACAGCCTGGTGCTTGAAGGTACCCAGTAAATTCCAGGTTTGTACCAGTTTGAGTGTTTTTCTAAAAAACAGCTGTCAGTCTAGCATCACAACATTATTCACTATGTTTAGAAGAAAACTGCAGCATGTCTGGTGCAGCCTGGGGCACTTCTGACCRGAACAACCTATTTCTATCAAAATAACCATGAACTAAAACTGACAATAAATGTTTTCATGAACTGGTGCTTCATTTTTAAGCTTGAACCCATTTAAGATGGAAGCTATCCACTCTGATCTTGGCTCTGCTAAGGCTAGCAAACACATCAGTTAAGACAGAATTTGTTTATTTCTTCAAACTGTGATCATGTACAAGTCTTAACCACTAAGTTGAAACAGAAATTATACGTTTATTCAAAAATTAGATCCAATCTGACATCTTCTGTTTCAAATATCTATCTTCATGCCATTATACTCTCAACCATGTCGTACTGTTTACCTGTTTGGTCTCTTACAACAAATGAAATCTTAGAAACCATAGTTAGGCTCTACAACAGGGCCTACAAAATTCATAAAAAAAACTTACTGGTTGGACTCATCACTGTACAGTTCTTTTATTGTCTGATGCCTTGACTTTTCAGAATTATGTTTTGTATAGTGGTATTAATTTATATTTTCAGATCTTCCAAGGTGCCAATTATGGAACTCTCTGTGCATTGCTGCCCAAATCAATATCTGGAAGTGGTCATTCAACTAGATCTGTTACAAAAGGACAACTGATATTACCAACTTTTAAAAACTGTTACGGCCAGAGGTCTTTCTTCTATGTTTATACTAAAGCATGGAATGACATTCCTCAAAACATAAAGYCCATTTCAAAACTACAGCCCTTTAAGAAGAATCTTGTCTGCCATCTGCTGGACACTTTTTGTTGTGCTCATATTTAGACGTCCTATTTTGCAAATGCTGCCTTCCTGAAATTTGGTATGCTTGTTTGTCTTTGTGTCTATGGTGTATAATGATGTGATTGTGATGCTGTATTTCTGAGTGTTTTATGTGCTGCAGAACAGGAASCTGCTGTAAAACAGCAATTATGCTGAGTCAGKCTTGATTTTTAGTRATCTTTTTCTGTTAAATCAATAAATCAAATCAAATCAAATCAAATCAAACTGAGATCTTTCAAAGAGATATCTAAAGTAGAGTTTAGATCAGGCCTAATACTCGGGCCAATAGACCTTGTGTCTGAGCCTAATCCACCCCAACTAATTAAATAATCAGAGGCCCAAGCCCAAATTAAACCTGACATATTATTTTTAAATTAGGCTTTGTTTTTATGCCATTTGAGTTTTTAACTAAATCAGATAGGAGCAGCTGCTCTGGTTCTATTGAGCATGCAATTCTGCAACTGACATCCATGTCTTCTTTCCAKCTCTGTGCCRTGGTTAACAAGAAAATAATAATCCCAGCTCCAACTCTGGTGTGAAAGAAAAAAACAACTAGTTGTTGTTTATATGCTTTGCTATGCCCAAGGTACAACAAGAGGACAGAGAAACAAATTATGATAATTTAGCCGAGCGACACAATATTTCAATGTTATACAAGAGAAGATTTACATTAATTGTGGTAATACTTTAGAAAAGAATCAATCAAAATTTACTCCCCTGTCTAATAGCTATGACCCTCCAACTTTATTGATGATTTTCAGGGTTAAACTTTTTATATTATACATGAAYAAACAGAGTAACACAACTTTAGATGGTCTCCTTTAGTTTTCTCTGTGCACTCCAGGCACCACAAAAGTCTGACCAGACCATCAAACACGTATAATTTTGGCCCAAACTGGCCTGTATTTTGGGTCAGGAGGGTTCTTTACATAACAATAATGTACCTTTGACTCAAAGTAGGAGTCAGCAGCTATAAACTCTGGGTTGATTCTCCGGTCCTGAGGTTTATCCAGGAACCAAACAACCCCACATCTGCTGATCATTGGCTCATTTGTTACAGATCCTCCCTCTGTGTTTGCTTATACGAGGCTCTCTAGGGAACCAGGAGGGAGCCAGGTAGTCACTAAAGTCTTCTGCCAGAAGGGTTACTCAGTGAGGAATAAGAGAGGAGACATGCTTATGTAAAATCAAGACATCAGCCATAGTGGATGAACTGCGTTTTATACAGTAAGCTTTGTTTCTTGTTGTGCAGTTCACCTCCAGTTTTTATTTTTTAAATCTATATAATTTTATATTTCTCATTATAAAAAGTTTAACGCGGTCAAACTGCTGTCTGAAATCTGACATTTTTGTCAAATTACATGTGAAGGTAAAATAAAAAAAACTAAAACTAGCTTCCAGCAGATGCAATCAAARCAATTATGGTTGAATTCAGACACGAGCCCTCAATAATGAGAGGAAAAGAAAACAYAGATCTTACAATTTAACAGAACAATTTGCTGCCAGAGACCAATTTCCATTTTGGATCTAAAACAGCGCAGGCACTGTTCGGTTTTAACAAAGGCAGATGGCAGGTTCAGCATGTCTTGTTTTTCTGAGGCTGATTGGTGACTGATATTCGGTATTGAGCGGAGTCTGGATCAAATCAGACATCGCTGATCAGAGAATCAATACAGTCAGAAACAGAGAGAGGCCTCCTGCTGTGAGACAGGAAAAAGACGTCTGATCTGACTGAAAATGTAAACATGGAAGTAAAGAAGAAAACGTTGGGGATTATTATCTGGAACCATTCTTCGTAGCAGAGATAAAAAACAAAAATTATTACAATGTTTGATTAATTAACACCTATTTATAACTGATGTCTTCTTTTGAATAGGATTTGATTAATCTGATGATCAGATTGATTTTTATCATTTGTTTTACCTTTCGTTTGCCTCCTAGTTTAAGTTCAGATGCAATAGCTCTAAAAATGATTGTTATTATTTAGCTTCATTCATGAAATCAATGACAAAAGATGTAACGGGACAAGTCCAAACATCCATCTATTAAATTCATGTTTTAGGATTTCAAAGTCTGAAGTAAAACAGTAAAGAAYTGTAGAAAATTTTCCACCTTTTAAAGACTGCACTCACAAAACAGATGTAATGGACTTGATTAAAAATGATCTTACCTGTAATTTGCCAATTTTTTTCTAACCATAAATAAAAGTGAGTTTAATATACATTTCATTATTTGACTGAGTATGTAAATGTAATGTCTGATTCTGTTAAAGAAACAGATATTGAAGGTTAAATGAGCAAAAAGGTTGACCTGTAGATTTAACCCAACAGATGAACACAGAAAATCCCACCTCTCAGATAAGGAGAAAAGTTCAGAGACCCGTAATCAGCTGTGATAAATGGTAGCTCCCCGTAATTAGTTTCTCATTCTAAACGTCTGTTGATGCACACGCCAAGTCTCCTCAGCACCAAAAGGTGCAAAACAAAGATTATGAGATAAAGGAAAGATGAGGAGGAAATAAAAATGCAGTTAGAGTTTATGTGGCACTGTGAGTTTAGAAATTTGTGAAAAGAATCTGGAAACATTAAAAGAAGAACACAGTTAAATGTTCATTAGATGCACTTTGAGCACATGTGCAAATAAATCTTGGTATAAAAGGGTATTTTCATGTTCTTACAGGGGGTCCGGAGGGTCCTGGAGGTCCTTTGCTGTCCTGGGAGCAGGTACAGGCGTGAGGCATGGGAGGACACTGCTCTTCAACTCTCTGAAAACAGGACAGGATTGTTTTGTTTCCTTGGCTGCTGACACGACTGATTACAGTTAAATTATTAAACTACAGCATAAACACGAGACCAGAATCAATATTTTTAAGAAACTTTAACAGTTTTTGTTGCACTGGTGGGCAAAAACGATGCAGTTTCTGCAGCTGTGGCAAAGTGGTTAGGGGAGTCGTCCTGTGACTGGAGGGTTGACGGTTCAATCCCCTGTTCCAGCTGTCTCAGTCGTTGTGTCCTTGGGTACGACACTTCACCCACCTTGCCTACTGATGGTGGTCAGAGGGTCCGGTGGCGCCGGTGCATGGAAGCCCCGCCTCTGTCAGTGGGCCCCAGGCCAGCTGTGGCTACAATGTAGCTTAGCACCATCAGTGTGTGAATGTGTGAATGACTGTAGGTGTAAAGCACTTTGGGATCTGACTGGGCTTGATAAAGCGGTATTTAATTTCAGACCATTTATCATGTAAATGTTTCCAGATGTAAACAGGTTTTTTTTGAAAACCAGGGTGTCAGACGACTTCCTCTGGTTTTTACTTTTAGCATGACACCTTACATAAAATAAAAAAAAATGTCAAAAGGCTTTTAAGGAATTTCAGATCAACTGTTAACCACTTTTGGTTTGGTTTATGTGGTGCTGGTCCATGCATGGACCACCACTGGCAAACCACATCTGGGCCACTAAAGGGCCGTCATTCTTTGCTGTATCTGTGCCAACAGGTCAACTTGTATGGACCCTCTTTAAATCATATGGACCTTCCCCCAATTTGCAGATTTACTGCTGTGTCGAGAAATCTCACTTTGTAAAAAAAAAAAAAAAATCCGCTTTAGATGTATTTTACGTCTCACAGATAGGATGTAAAAAAAACAAAGTAATAAATAAAATTAGATAACCATCTCCCAACTCGTTCTGCTGCTACAAATAAGTTCCCAACTTCCCCGTCCTCCTTTCCAAGCTCCTCTGCGCTGCAGATGCTCCCACATTTACTCTCAAGCATTTTTTGGTAAAAATGACAAGATACAGGTAAACCTCCAAAGGGGTTGATATCTATTGAACTGAGTAAGACACATTTCTATAAATGTCAGGGGTGCAACAATACATGCATCTGTACCGAATCGTTTCAATACGGTGCAGTAGGTTCAATAGGACAATTGAACAATACAGATTATTAAAATGTATTTKATCAACTTGTCTTCTGAAGATGCTGTGTTGAAGGCTCAGTTGATCTGTGTTCAACTATTCCACCTAGGCTGCACTGTCGAGTGCAGATCCACTGACAAACGTATTGTTTCAGCAACGTTTAACTTAAAAACTGTAATTTTGAGGTTAAACAAATGTTGATAAATAATTTCAACAAATTACAAGTTAAGAAGGGCAAGGACAGTTCTCAGTTTTGTTTTGAATTTTCTGCATCATTGCACCCCTAATATACAGTATATATATATAT